GTCGGAGCAGCCGGAGGGGCGAGGGTGCGGGCGGTGGGGCTGGGGCGGCAGCTCTGCCCCATCCCGGGGGGTCTGCGCACGGCTCTGATGGCTCCCGGTGTTGGGGTCCAAACAGACGCCTGAAGAACGAGCTGCTGGAGATCCGGCGCAAGGGGGCCAAGCGGGGCAGCCAGCGCTACAGCGAGCGGACGTGCGCCCGCTGCCAGCAGAGCCTGGGCCGCATCAGCCCCAAGGCCAACACCTGCCGGGGCTGCAACCACTTGGTGTGTCGGGACTGTCGTTCCTATGGCCCCAACAGCTCCTGGCGCTGCAAAGTCTGCTCCAAGGAGGCGTGAGTACCTGGGGACAAAGTGGCAGGGACCTTCTGCACACTCCTGCTCTCCCCTTCCTCTTCCCAGTCACCCCAGCTTGATGGTCCACGGCCAACCTTTCCTAGCCCAGTTGGTTTTCTCCAGCGTAGGGCAGCTGCTGTCTCTGCTGGCACTTCCCAGGGTGGGCACCCGTGTTTGGGTGATGGAGAGCTGCGTCATGCCCCACTCTTGGGTCTTCTTCGTGCCCGCCCTGCTCCTTTTCCCCCCTTACTTGACTCCGACATCCCCCCATGCCCCTCGCACAGCCTGTGTTTCAAGCATCCCGGGTTTCTTCCCTCTCAGCCTCCCCTGCCCTACAAGCCCCATTTTTTTGCGGGATGTAGCTGTGCCCGTTGTCTGCCCAGTGCATCATCTCTGCCCAGCCACCCGCCGAACGTGTCCATGGTGCCTGTGCTCTCCTTGGCCGTGGCAGCACCAAGGGTGGTGGTGGGGTGCAGGGAGCAGCCCCTCACTACCCCCACTGCCCCCCTGCCCTGCAGAGAGCTGAAGAAGACGACGGGTGACTGGTTCTACGACCAGAGGGTCAATCGCTTTGCCAACCGGCTGGGCAGCGACATGGTGCGGCTGTCCCTGCGGCACAGGTCGGCAGGTAGGGGTGCCGCAGTGATGCCTCCTCCTGCAGCCCAGCCCTCCGGGATGCTCCGTCTTTCCCTGGCACTCCTCTGCCAGTGTGGAATTGGCTGGGAGCAGCTTCTGCTCCAGCAATGGGCTTGGAGCGGTGGTCCTCCTCATGCCTCTCTCCTTCCAGCCAGCAAAAGAGAGACCGTGGGACAAACCCTCCTTCAGAAAGCCCAGCTTGGCGAGCCCAAAAGCTCCTCCACAGTCCGGCAGCCGAGCCCCCCGGCACCCCGGGAGGGGACCAGGTGAGAATCCCTGCCGTCTCCTCTGCTCAGGGTGCCAGCTCTCGCCTTCTGGGGGGACAGGACGGACGCTGCCGCCCTGTTTGGGTCATTGGTGGCGCAGAAGCTCTCTCTCAGACCGGCCCCCTCGCCAAACAGGACATACCTGTGGTTTTGTTTGTCTGCAGTTTGTTTCCGGATGCCTCAGACCCTCGGGATGGCAAAAGCGACACAGAATCCATGGAAAACATGAGCCTGGATGGCTACAGACCTAGTCCCGGTGGCGTGAGGGGCAGGTGAGGGGCTCCCTGGGTGGGTTGTCCTTGGCTAGGCTGGCTTGGCAGAGGACGAGCACCTTCATCTCAAGTGTGGTTTTCTTTCGGTCTAGTGTTGGGGGGAGCTGACTCCTCTGTCCCTGGGCAGGCAGGTCCTCCGCTCCTCAGGCTGGGGTGCTCCAGGGAGCTCGTGTGGCTCCGGGGAGCTTGTGGGAAGATGGTGCTTCCCAGCCAGCGCTTGCTCTCCCAGCCATGCTCTTGGCCTGTGTCCTCTGCAGGAGTAATTCCCTGGAAAGAGCCGCCCCTCTCAGAGATGGAAAACAGGCTGCTGTGCCGGCTGGCCCCGCTGCCTCCAGCCTGACCCTCCCTCTCCGCTCCAAAAACGCTCTCTCCGACGGACGGGTGCGTGCCGCTGCTCCGCTGGGCTCAGCCCTGTCCTGTGGCACGGGGCTGGCAGCCCCGTGGGGTCCCCACTCTGCCCTCCTCTGAAGGGACCCTTCCTCCCCAGGATGCCACCGTGGGAAGCCGCAGCAGTGCCTTGGTGGATGAGCACGAAACGATATTCAAGAAGAATCCCCGGCGGGTGGTGAGACCTGCGGGTGAGCGCTGCGTGGGTGCAGGGGTTTTTGGGTGCTGACGTGGCAGGGGGTGGGTGGGCGGCTGCTTCTCCCTGGGCTGTGGCGGGGGGGCAGAGCAGGGCGGAAAGGGT